CCCTCGATACCTGTTTGTTTCTGGGGCGACGAGTCTGGCAAAAAGTTTCGACAGGCATATTACGACACGTACCCAGGTAAGTTCCCCTGATTTCGTCCAGATAATGACGTGCATGTTTACATTGATGCTGAGCACAGGAGTCTGGCGTCAAGGCGATTTTGTGGTCAAGAATCCGAAGACGACAGGGTTCATCTTTCTAGGGCGGAGGTAATGGCTATTTTTATGTCTTGTAATATGCAAGTTGATCTAATCATTTCCACAGCGATGGCGTACTCAACCCCTCTGGTGTCCGATTTGGCTCCGCGGAGATCTACACTGTCCTAGAGTCTTTCTCCGATGAGCTCGATGACTCGTTGTGTGTGGGCCAACGGAGGACACAAGACCCTGACGAGCGTGTCCTGCTCTTTCTGAAGATGCGCTCGGGGCGCAAGCTCACACCTGCCCTCATTGATCGCATCAAAAGCTCGATCAGGACCAGTCTTAGCCCGCGACACGTCCCAGCCTACGTGTTCGATACTGCAGATATCCCGGTACGTGAGCTGCTTATGCGGTGAACATGACGATCCTGATGCCTGTGCAGTATACTGTAAACGGCAAGAAAATTGAGATTGCGGTGAAGCAGATTGTTTCGGGATCCGATCTAAAGCCGAGTGGGACTGTGGCAAACCCCGAGTCACTTCAGTTGTACTATAAATACAGGGACATCGAAAGTTTGGTGGGCGTGAAGACGATGGCGAAGCTCTAATTGTAGACATTGGAATCAATAACTTGTGAGCACAGTCATTTGGCGTGAGCTACCTTTCTGATGAATCTGAGATACGTGAGATTTCCGTCGGTCAAGGCAGCATGTTGTTGTCCACTCATGATCGTTTGGTTTTGGTTGTCAGTGCATAAGTCCGCCATTACGGGATAGGCGCCCGAGTCAATAACTTTCAAGAGTCAGGGGTATTGTACGTCGGAATTAAGCCTGAGGAAGATTCATCTGCAATGTGGAGACAGGATGGGACAAATTCACGTGTACTCCGTTATGCAGTGAACCTGTCGTGAGTCTTCCATTGCTGGTAATCTGCGATTCGCTTCTTCCCGTTCTCTCGCCGTGACCCTGCGGCGCAATCAACTTCCCGTGCCCTTACTATATCCAAGTCCAAGCTAGCTCGGACGCGCGGCAGCAGTTGTCTGGCTTGTGCGATTGAAGCATGCATCGCAGCGACTTGAATCAAGCCTGCCAATGGGGCACTATGTACCAGTAAGTCCGTAGTACTGTGGAACAATGCACTGATAATGATTACCCGAACCGCGAAGCGGTATCTCGCTAGCGCTAATATCGATAGTCCTATACCATGGAACTACTTCACGACATCCTTATCTTGCATACTTTGGAATCCTATCCTGATCATAGCGTCGTATGTGCGATCACTTCAGCGTTACAACTATCAGCCTCAAATGCCGTTCGCACCCCTGAACCTGCGGGACTTAGGGGTTGTCGCGACGACTCAGATCAGGAAACCCAGAAGTGACAGTAAACGGGTACATCAATGCAGCAAGCCGTGGTTCCCTATTGTAAAGGTTCCTGAATTCGTCCTATGGCAAGTTTTTTACTAGTTGGCTGGGTAATAGTCAGGGGCAATGGCACCGACTCAATGGTAGGTCCGATGAGAGCACATGGCTTCGACGAAATACACCTGATATCTGCCCTCCATCACATGCACACTCGGAGCAGTTCCTTACTCCCCCTGTGGGTCACTCTCCATCTCCGTTTTAATAGCACGGTGCCTTGATAACAACGACGAAAATATAACTTTGCCTTTGGGTTGTTTCTCATTATTTTCATACACCAATTGAACCGTCACTGCTCTTTATAAAATTGGCCCTCTCCTTTTTGTATCTTTGCTATGTTGCTGACCTGGACGATGCCATTTCTCCGTTTGAGGAAGCGCCGCATGTTTATGCCTCCTGAGGCCTGAGGCCTGAGTCCTGATGTCACCTGGGAACACATGACTCGTGAAGCCACTTGCAAGGCACCCATGCTGAAAAATCTTGCCATGCAATTTCCAAGCCTGATATGATACACTGCATGAGGCCGGCATGACATTTCTTTTAAGGGGTCGTATAGTGCCACAGACCACGCGGTGCAAGTTCATGACGAAGTGATTGCACAGCCACAATTCATTGCTTTTGTTCAAGCCCATGACTAGCTATAGCTTAGGTCCCAACGCACGCAGGCGTTACTACATGCGAGCCAGATTCCAGCAAGCTGCAGGTCTGGTACCGTTACATATTGTGCTTTCTCCAGGACGGGCTGTTCGCGCCACACTCAGCAAGTGCCAGTGATATATCATTGACAGAAAAGAACCATCGGACGGATCTCGTTTCATCCGCCACAACTTATCTTACACCAAGGCTACACGTCTCATGCAGATTCGCCAGCTTAGCTGTCTTGTCATCTAAGGCAACACGTTCCAAACGAACTCATGGGTTTCAAACAATTGAACTGAGTACATCGCGTCCGAATGCGCCACCACGGTGATAGAAGCTTCTGAAGGAAAGAATGCAATATCGGCCTCGCTGAAGATTCTGGGGCACTGCATATGTCATAATCCGCTACGTCGGAATTAGGAGGAGCCATTTGCAATGAGCAGATCAAGATGGGACGAGCTACTCGGACGAGCAAGTAAACGGCCTCGGTGAGTCTGCTATCACTTGCCCATGCGTGTTTTTAATTCGCTGTAGATATCACATTTTATCTTCTCCGGTCTAATCGTGCCCATCCATGACGTTAGGAGCGACTTCTGCTAGCCGACGCAAAAGATTATCTCTCAACTTCCAATACCATACCGGAAGATCGCTCGGGTCGCACAATCATGTGGATCGGAGTAATTCGGCACTTCAGTACGTATGCACGGGAGCATTGAATGCGCTACATATGATCATCCCGCGGATCGCACAAACTTCGGTTATTCATCGAACTTGAAGCCTATCTAGTTGATATTCGCTTTACGATGTGCTTGCGGTCCACCCGCCGGCATATCCTGATGCGGCATACGTTAGATGCGGGCTCCCTTGGGCGTAACTTCCAAGCTCCACATCACATCCTACGATATCCCGAACTTGCGGCGGAAGTGTGCGGCAAGTTGTTATCACTTTGTCTCCAAGGCTTCTAAAGGCTCCTAAATTCTTCTGGCTATTGTGGGCAAACACTTAGTTGGCTAGGTTATAGCAACTTTTCAAGAGAGGGTCGGATGGAAGCACGCGCACTTGACGAAATGCACTTCATTTCTGACCCACCGTTACACCCGCGGCTCCTGCAGGTATCGTCTTGATGGACAAGCTCGAGAACTTTGTTCTCAACAGCAGAGTGACCCTGATAGGCTGATCGACACCGAAGAAAGTGTATAATTTTTTTTCGTGCCGATGTCCATTTCTTCTTGTTCTCACCTTTTGACATATTTAGGATCTCGACGAAGCCAGTTCTCTGAAGTCTCGCATCAGAATTACGTTGCCTGCGCCTAATGGGCCCCGACTACCTGAGAAATGCATTTGTCGCAGGCAGCAGAACCCCCAATGCGGTACATCAACGTCATCATCCTTTACACGAGGCAGTGAAATTACATCCACTAAGACACGAACCGAGCATGTTACCATGTATGTCGACCACCCTCGACACTGCACTGCAAGCGCGGTGTGATAATCCTTGACGAAGCTGACCTTGCTGTGGGATCCAGTCTGACTGTAACGTTATTCGAATCTGCCAAAGTGGAAAACGTCCAAGGCTCCCTTGATTTACATGATAACCTTGCGACAAATTACGTCGGAATGTCTGATTATCGACAAACAAAGTTTCAACGTACAGGCAGCACCTGTCAGTTGTCATACGGATTAATTGAGCGTTTCGTAACTTTTGTCGGTAACATCGGACGCCCGTGCAAGACTGGGCGGTCGTGTGTATGGACGGGCCGCCTGTCCGTGGAAAGTATTTGGATACATTGTCAGTACATACAAAGAATGCATTTCAATGAAGCTATTTTTGCCCACGTTGCTCACTCATACCAGATAATCATTACATGCTTCTGAAGTGACCAGATATCTATTATCCGTTGCCAGTGGAGCTGCATAATATAGAGCTATCGTTCATACCCGAACTAGGGTTTCTCACGTCCGAGTCCGATGGTCACCCGGTACGCATGATTAATGATTAGCGCCCGAGGTATGTTTACGCGATTCTGACGCGAAGTCCGCACAATGCGAACTGACGCATCATGCCAGTAGCACGAGGTGCATAAGCAAGTCAAGTCACTAATAAACTTCTAGTCGGGGCACTCTGCTTCTAAAATGCTGCCTCGTTGCAACCCCAATTTGCATTATCCAACCTTTGAGTTTAAAAGTTTTTCGGTTCTTTGTGATTGCTGTGAAGTCGCAGAACAAACTCGAGCTTCGTGCCCACCCAAGTATAGATTTTCTTGGAGAACTCCGTGATACTCCAGATCCGATTGTCAAAGATTCCCATGCTAATATGGTCTAGGCTTTGGAGCTACGAACAAGGATTCTGACCAAAAAGGAGGAACCCAATCAGTTGATTGTCAGTTGGGCCCATCCCCAGTATATACGTACATGTAAACTAGAGCAGTCACCAAGTACCGTCTGGCCTCTACGTACACACTTCGAACATGGCAGATACAAGAAAAATTTCCTATGTAAAAAATCCATCAGAGTCTATATTTGTGAACAATCCTGTTGATGTTGATGGAGTCTATTATGCAGAAGAAAGCAAGAAGCTATAATAATCCGGCTATAACACCACGAGAAATAAACGAGGGACAACAGTTGGAGTTTTATGGCATGCGATAGCGATCGAATATCCATCCACCTGGGGTTATCCGATGTGGTATGTACATATGCATAAGTTTTGGATCATATGATCGCTGGGAAGCATGCTGGTCATGCCGGTCGTTAAGTCATTTGAAAAGTGGTGGGAAAAGTTCAATTGGAAAGTTTGTCCGACTTCAGTGTACTTTCTTCTTCTTCGAGCCGTCAATGACCGCACCGGCATCGGTAATCAACTTCTGGAGTTCGCCGGACTCGTTGAGCTCCCGAATAGTATCCATCGAGCCAACGGGCTTGCCCCCAATAAGCATTAGAGGAAGATCGGTTGAAGACGTGAGGCGGTGTAACAAAGGAATCAAAACTTCTGCATCCTCTAAGAAATCCATGAGCACTTAGTAAATGAAAGTTGGGGAATTCGTTTACCTCGTTGATCGACTTCAAAAGCCACAGGAGGCGGCCGTAAGTCCATAGTTGAAACGATACGTCTTATTTCCCTAGAGTGTGCATGATGAACCTGAAACAAGCAGGAAGCGTTAGCATGAAACTAGAACAAAGGAAGTAGAAGAAGCGACTAACCTTGGTAAACATCATAACGGGATAGCGAGACCACACATCTTGCACGATCTGATTTACTTCATCTGCGGCACGGGGACTACGAGTGTCGAAGTCAAGCACGAGTTGGGGGTCAATAGGTTTGCTTGGGTCTATCGAGCGTGGAATCATATTCTGTGGAAGCGCTGCCACGAAAGCAGCTACTGCTGCTAGCTCCTGCGATTCATCCAATTCGACTTGGGGACGATTGGTATTGCTGACTACGTTTTTTCTTTGGCTATTTGAAAGTGGGCGGAAGAGTCTAGACGATGGTAGGGAATCATCTTTGTCTTGTGGATACGATCCATGTGTACCTGCGTGACCGAGGGCGTCGGTCCGAAGTGCTATTGGAGCAAGCTCTAATGAAGGCCTTGCCACGAAAAATATGTAGAATGACACAACGATAAGGCCGATGAGAGCCAGCGACGTGGCTCTCTGGTTGAGTGGTTTTCGTTGATGCTGCAGCGAGTGCAGAAGGGAGGTGACGGGGAGGGTTGACATGGTGACCGACGATGTGGGTCAGGTAAAGGTAAAAGAGAGTGGAAGAACTTATAGAAGTCCCTAGATAAACGAATGGCAAGTATGAAAGTTTTAATTCGAAAGCGAGGCCGAGAGTGGATCAGTGCAACCCGAAACAATGAAAAGTGAAAGAAACGTGTTCACATTAACCCCCGTGAAATTGATCTAGAATTTCCTCGGCTCGAACCTTTTTTGTCACACGGAAATACCGTTAATTCCTTATTTGGTATACTGCTCCGTAAAACGACCGATTTTCACAATAATGACACCTTATAATTATCCCATGGCGCCCATCAGCCAATTCACGATATCGATGGGGAAACGTCATGGATGGCCTTCATAATAAACGTGGGAATATTATCATGATGATGCCGCTGAGCGTAGGGGTTTGACAAGATACGCCATAGGTTCTCATAGGCTCAGCGCTCAGCTGTCCTGATCAGCCGTGTTACGGATCTCCGTAACACGCTTATCGTATATGTACCTTATATTTGTTTGTTGGGCGGCCTTCCCTGGACCTAGATTATCGCCATAAAGCAGCTTCTTACCCAAACATGTCGCTTCCTGCCGTCAGGCGGGTTTGTGTTGTTAATCATCCCTATAGTGCAGGGCCCAACGCTCTCTAAAAGGTGCACGAAGAACCGCCTTTGTCTTTGGCAGTTGTTATCTTCAACGCTCTTATCGATATAGCACCTGTCGAAAATCAGTCTAACCCGCATAATTTATAACGCTGACAGTGTGGTTTCTCTTTCCGATAAGTAATTCAAACAGGGCAACGCCGTGAACGGCGGCATGTTCAAAATGCCTTGGCACAAAGGTCATTGGAGCCCGACTGCCACAATTGAGAGCACGCACTGCCGCTATTTTCGGTCAGGGACAGTGACATGTCCCTATCTTCATTCCATGCCTCCTCTCCTGGCTGGCAACGCTCTTGAACACAAATGTATAACCGTTGAATTGTCACATAAACATAAAACCCAGAAATAGATCTACCGCAAATTGGATGAACAAGACAACATAATAGCAGTACACATAAATATGTAACAATACAGAATTCGACTCCAAGTGTGCACCATTTCATCACACGATGACGTGAGCCTCGCCAACTCTACTGCGTCTCTTGTTCTTTCACAGTATCCTCCCTTACCGTCATCCCAGCATTCTCAAACATCTTCTTCAGCTTGCCTTGTGCACGCAACGTTTGCAGTTCGTCATTTCCGCCGAGTCCCTGCCCATTCAGGATGATATTGGGGAACGTGGAGTGTTCGGTAAGGCGGGTAAGGATGATCTTTATGAAGTCCCAATCATCTGTAAAAGATCAGCGTATGCATTACGGAGGTAAGCATAGCCACAACATACCTCGAAGATCCACTTCGATAATTTTAGGTGGAGGAGACAAATTATACGATTCCAATAGTTTCTTGGCCTTCCTTGAAAATCTACATAGAACCGGAAACATAGTGCATGAGGCTACCACACGGATCACAAACTGGCACAGAAGAGAACGCACGGGCAATATGACTGGCGCAAACACAGCATCGCATCAGAACCGCACACAGGATCCGGTGAATCGAAGTACGTGACACACCTTCGAGAGTACGATCAATGGATACTCTTCTTTCAGCCTTCTCATGTGAGATTTCCAATCCGGTTCGTCACCACCAAGATACACAGTCAGATCGATCGGCGCAGCGGGGTTTATTGAATGTGACAGCATGCGATCGTCATCGCTCGTCACAAAATGGAGTAACCCGTATATCTCCTCTACTGGTGGGCCCTTGACTAGCGAAGCGATATTGGCACGTGAAAGTGACGAAGATAATCCCGAGAGATCGAGAGGAGGCAGGGACCATGGTACGCTATAGAACAGGCAAGAAACGAATAGAAGTACGGGAATGAGGAGAATGCGACGACGGCGGTAGGATGAGCATGTAGGGCGACGTGGGATCGAATCGCTTGCCATTTTGTCGTTTGGAGAGGCGTAGATCCTGTTGCAACGACTTGGTAACACAGTGAATTCAAGTGCAAACCTGGTGGTTCCAATGCGATGAATCACTCGGCAAGCTGGCACACTCGCAGGGAAGTGATGAATTTGAAAGAGTGGGTCGGGTTCTCAGGCCGTTATGGACAAGATCGACCGGGACTAGATTGAAACACAATGAACGCGGGGATAAAAGCAGTCTCAGGACCAGTGTTCAGACTATATACTTATCCGTGGAGAACAGCCATGAACGGGCTTATGACGGGAAAATTCGAGGTAGAGGTCTGTTCCTAGTGCTGTGCGGCACGTTTTGGACGCCCCCGAGGAATGACTTGTGAGAACTGAATGTTCGGTGCCGCCTGCGGCAGTGCTTATCTCCTTTTAGCCGACCACCTTGACACCTGCCTCAAAATTGTCGCAAGGTAATTTTATGAGGCTTGGCCTATATAAATGTACCAAGGGAAAGAGCTGAATTTAGCTGGCCTTGACCACGGCCTCGGCTGGCTGTACATATAAAGCTGATCGATCGCCCCGACGTGTGCCACAACTGCAAGCTCAAGTCGGACGTTGCCTAAAAAGGCAATTCCCCGCCTCGGAGGATACTCGGGAGCGGACCTCAAAGACTCGTATCGGAGCTGGCGTTGACGTCGACCGTGATACGTGTCATACAGAACACCACAGGACCTTACTCTCTCGCATGTATCCCGTGATACGGATTCTTCTCATCATATCATGCCGGGTATAGATTTCTGCAATGAGGCCGCTCAATCTAGTGAGCACGTACACTCTGACATGTGTTTGCATCATGGCGTGTCACCGAGCTCGAGGCCACTCGCCTATGTAGTGTTGCCAGTACCGGCGCATGAAGGTCATCGTTGCTTGGCCGCGCCGAATCCCGAACCCCACGTGACTATCATGGACTTGCCGCATCGGTACATCGTGTCTTTTGACTGTGTGTTCGATTTCAATTTCATCCAGTAGATCATCATAGATAACATGGAAAGAAAAATAGATTATGTGGTCTTTGACATGGATGGTTCGTGGATCTAACTTCCTTGGGTACTTGAGGCAAAACGCGTCTTCGACAGGCCTTCTCATTGACACGGAGAGGGTATACACCGAAGTTACCAGTATGCTCCATGTCACTGCGCTTCTTCATACAACTCACGTAAACTCAAAGATGATATCCTCGGTCGCTACGGAAAGACCATGACATGGGACGTCAAGGCACAGCTCATGGGCAAACGTACGCCCTCCGATCTCTCTGAACTCATTCAACGCAAACCATATTGCAGCACGACTTGAGTCTGCAACGCACCTGCTCTCTTTGTTTCCCGGAATCGATATCACAATCGACCAGTACCTCGTAGAGTCTCAAGAAAAGCAAGATGCGAAGTGGCCAACCGTGCAGCTCCTCCCGGGAGTACAGAGATTAATCCAGCACCTGGTGAAACACAACGTGCCAATCGTAGTCGCCACTGCTTCCTCACGACGGAACTTTGATCGCAAATCTGAGAATCTCAAAGAATTCTTTGACTATTTTCAAGGCAACATCGTCTGCGCTGATGATGTAGCAGGCAAGACTACGGGGAAGCCTGAACCGTATATTTTCCTACATGCTGCAGGTGTCCTAGGCAAGGCAGTAGGTGCTACGGAGCAGTGCACTGAGGCTGAGGCTGTGGAAAGGAGCAAAGGACTCGTTTTTGAAGACGCCGTTTACGGTGTCCAAGCGGGTAAACGAGCCGGAATGTCAGGTAGGCTGTTGTTTCAGAGTCATGATTTAGGGCCTCACGTCCTCTTCAGTTGTCTGGGTACCTGACGAACGCCTTCTGGACGTTGCTAGTGCCAGCCCACATGTCCCAGATGAGACGCTCGCGTCCATCGAGCATTTCATGCCGGAGAAATGGGGCCTTCCACCTTACGACACCGAATGACATCACCGCTTATTAGCTTTTCGGCGTGAGTCGTTACAGTAAAGATTATATCCCCCAGGGTGTACGAGATCATTTCCATTTTAACTTGATTCACAAATGGATATTGAGCACTACAGAGTTCGTAAAAGGCGCTGCCGTACACAAAGGCTACTCTTTGTCGATGCATTGGACAAAATAATCCAAACACCCCATCGTAATTACACTTTTGCTCCGATCCCGGGCATTACACTCGGTCGTAAAGTACCCTATACCATTCCATTCTTGTGGTTTCCTTTGTGGTCACAGTAATTACTGAACTGAGACGCATTGACAGTAATGGCGGCCGCGTTTGACATGTCTGAGGAAGTGATGGAAGGGTAAGTGATTATTGTGACTGAAATCAGAATGGAGCTGTCTTCCATGATTTGGCCCTGAAACTGAAATGTCAACACCATGGATGCGAGTGATTCCTGAAGGGTCCACCTTTTTGTGAACCATCCCTGTCCGTACGTAAATCCTGTGGACAGCGCTGCTGACTGAATGGAATAGGTTAACGACGAACCTGATCAAGAAGACGCATGACGATTGATCATTGGCAGGTCATCAATGCATCATCCCTGACGCGGACGGTTGGCAGATGCCAAAATCACACTGCATGTGCTGATGGAAACCCAAGGTAACGGAATAGCTGTGGTGAGTCCCAGTCACAAACTAGATGCACCATGCAAGTCTGGCCCGCGGAAAGTTTGATGATGTATGGCGTAGCAGGTGATGATCGATCGCGGTCGTTGTCTTCTCACTCCAGGCCAAGTCCAAACACAGCGTGCTGGACATGCCCATGATGGGAATCACTTGAAGGCAAGGAATCGTGGTGCATCTCGAGATCTCACCGACTGGCTAGTATAGCGCAATACTATGTTCTGCTGCATGAGCAATTCCATGTCTGCCACAAATCATCGGGCAAGTTCAGGGTGTTCCATCATGCCGGGACGCCGCCTGCCACCCGTTATATCATGATGATGCGACAAGCTAAATCAGCTGAGGCCGCGGAGTGGAGCAAACGCCTCGTTTTTGAGGACACTGTTTACAGTGTTCATGAATTCAGGAGCCAGAATGTCATGTAGGCTGTTACTCCAGGGTAGCAACTTGGGGCTGTTTTCCTCAGCCCTCCGGGTACCTGACGAAAATTGCAAGTGCCAATACATACTTCGCAGATGAAACCCTCACATTCATCGAGGAGTGCGGTGTTTCGCCTTACAAACACTGATTGCACAATGAGAGAAGGGGGCGTTATTCCATTGAAACCTACTAATTTAGAAGGATATAGTATGTTGGTCATACCTTACTGTACCTACCAGAAACACGATGCAATGTGCACAGCACTTGATTTTGACTGTACACGGGTTAGAAGTACGAACCAGCTCCAGCATACGTGCGCGGGTTGGCACTGCTAGCAACTGCCTCGTCACCCGATGAATCATCCTCTTCTAGTAGTGCTAGCGATTCCGTCTGTAGACGTGCATATTCGACGGAACCAGGTCCGAATGCTGGGGAAGGAGGTTTGTAGGGCTTTGCATGCACCGCCAAAATCCCTGTAGGTATCCGCGCTTGCAAGTCCTGCTGCTTGGGCACAGGCTGAAATGTCAGCTACCCGTCGCACACGAATGATAATCAGCACCCAATATCTCACGCAATCGATACACCTCCGACTTACCGAATCGTTGATTTTCTTGTAGTGTTTCAAAAACACGCTCACGCTCTCTAATTCATCCGCGACACGCCCTTTGCGCCCTCGCTTCTCGCGGTCCCGCCCTACTGCAATACCAAGCCCGCCCTCCTTCATGTCCTCGAGCTCCTTCTTTGCCCATAGTAACCATGCCACCGCCTCCCCGCCCCTTTCGTGCACTCCACTTTCTCCTGCATCAACACCAAGCCACTTGTGCGCAAGCGCTGCATGAAACGCCGATGCATCTGCAAGGTAGCGGCGCAGCTCAACGCAGACTTCTGCATTGGAATCTGGATTAGAAGACGGGGAAGACGGACGTGCGGAGCCGGGCGTCATGGCAAGCGTACGCGCAGAGGAGTAAAGCGACACGCATTCAAGGTGGAATTTAAAGATCAGCGGGATGGAGGGGTGTGATTTAGGAAGCGGAGGGCCGGGAGATACTGCGTTGTCATATGCAGATTTAGAGAGAAATTTGCGAATCGCCAGAGTCTGCGCGTCAGCGAGTGCCATCCTAAAAATGACATCCGAAATGAGATGAAATGAAATGGAGGAGCGCACTTACTTTGCGAGGGCAGAATTAACCTCCTTGCTCAGATCAGGCGGCCTGCCTGACGCACCCTCCCCGGCTTTATCCCAATCCAACAACACCTTCTCGCTCATATAGGTGAAAATTCCGCTCGCTCTGCACAACATTGTCACCGCAAAATTGAGCTTTTCATCCTTCGCTTTTCTCTCGATTTCTGAGATCGCTCGATCATGCTCATAAGAACCAAGACTTGAAACCGTCACACGCGCGAAATTCGACAGCGCAAAGGCGTAAGTGAGCAATGAGGATGCAAGGTCCGCATGCAGCGATGCAAGGACGATTCTTGGGGACATGTGGAACAGATGTGCGGACAGTGTTGTGCGCCAGCTGAATTCTTTGAATCTCAGGCTGGTCAGTCAAACGCACAGCGGATCAAGTATCAGCAGAAGACTCACGGGGTTCGGATTTCAGACGAATGTCCCCTGATGCGACACAGGCCATGATCCCATGCAAGTATGGGAGGTAGTCATCGAGAACCTAGGGGATATATACTGTGGGAGCCCCGGATTGAAAACGGTGATGCGCACCTTGATCAAGCGCAGATAATCCTTGTCGTCTGTGTCAGTGCGTTTGATCACTTTCAGAACACCGCGCAGGTTCGCTCGGGCCTGGGTGGCTTCAGCTATGTGACTTGCATATGCATTGGAGGCCGTAGTGTCAACACAAAAATCTCCAAAAGAGATAGCGCCGGTCGTTGGGAGCTCGAAAAGATAGGTGCTCATTCTGAGAAAGAAGTGTTTAAGCTAAGCTTAGGGTGGCTGTTTGCAACTTCAATGAAGTAAGGAAAAAGATGATCTGACCCAGGCTCGAACTGAGGACCTTCTGTGTGTTAGACAGATGCGATAACCAACTACGCCATCAGACCGATGACAACGATCGGCGTTTAGAATTCAAAACCAATAAGTACTTTGATTATGTAAGCTTATATTGTGACAGCGGAATCTATGGCAACCCGCTAATCCCAACTTGCATCCAAGCTAACTGCAAATTAATTACAAAGTGTACTGCAATGAGCGCTCAGTTCGACCAGTCGCGCCTTATTTGGACACCTACTTACCCGTCTCATGTCGTCTCCGAGAAGCTAAGGCGTGAAATCAACCTTAAACACAACTTGAAACTTAGTGCGTTGATGTCTCTCATAGAATGAGAGCCTGACTGGACTTCGTGCTGTAGAGGACTATCATGACCTGCATACATACTCGGTGTCCGATTACACCTTCTGGCTCGACCTCTGGCAGTTTATGGGTATTTTGTCTTCTGTTCCCCCAGATCCCACAAAGGTGTGTCAACTCATGTCGGCTTCTTTTCTGGTGATGTCGAACATCACTATAGATAGTCCAAAAGGGCAAATACGAAGAAGTACCCGAATGGTTTCCCGGAGTACGCCTCAACTACGCGGAGAACCTTCTCTACCGAGACGACGATGGTATCGCATGTACAGCAGGCAATGAACTCGGAGTTGTGACGCATTATAGCTTCCGCCAGCTAAGAGAGATGGTGCGCGAAATGGCAGCCGCAATGCGCGCGAATGGATTGAAGGTTGGAGATAGGGTTGCAGGTGAGCGAAGGAGGTGCCTGTAGAGTTTGCCACAGATTGTAATGGTCGCAGCTATCATCACCAACTCCATCACCGCTGTGGTAGTTGCTCTAGCGGCTTCCAGTGTAGGGGCAATGTTCTCCAGTACCGCAACTGACATGGGTACCCAGGTCAGCCTTATCGTATCTCTCGTAGACTCGCAAGACGTTCCACCTTGAATAGGGCATACTCGATAGGTACAGGCAGATTAAACCAAAGCTCATTTTCACAGAAACGGAGATTGTTTACGCGGGGAAGACAGTCAGCCTAGTGCAGAAGGCTTCGGAAGTGGAGCAGGATCTCCGCGCATATGGCGTACAGCGCATCATTACCTTACCAAGTGTGAAGACCGGAAACACTGTCCCAGAATCTCTAAACATACCCAACAGGTTTGTCCACGACTCCTATTAATTAACGCGTATTCTTGACCTTTGTTTAGTGTCACATTAGATTCTTTCCTTGCATCAGGTGATAGTCGACCACTAGAATTTGAGCAGTTACCTTTCAGTCATCCGTTGTACATCCTATACTCCTCGGGGACAAGCGGTCCGCCGAAATGCATAGTCCACTGCGGTGGGGTACGCTTCCCACTAACGTGCCATATTCTGCTACTTATCTCCTTGTGCAGGGCGCCCTCATGAACAGCAAGAAGGACAGCATGGTTACCTTCGGCATCCTCCCAACTGATGTCTCTTTCCAATACACGACGGTAAGCAACCCCATACATATATACTGTGCGTGAAGTGACCAGCTCATGTCCATACAAGACGGGCTGGATGATGTGGCCATCCATGCTCACAGGTCTTGCATGTGGTGCACGCATTGTCCTCTTCGACGGGTCACCATTCCACCCTGACCTCAGGAGTTATCTCAAGTTCATTAATGACCAGGGGTGCGAAGACACTAACGAGCGCAGACCATCAATAACTAAACTCTTTTAGTGTCACGGTGTTCGGCACAAGTCCACGCTTCCTGACCGAAGTCCAGATGAGGGATATCAAGCCGCGTATGATTGGATCATAGCCTTGAGAGTTAATGCTAATTACTTTTGTAGTTGAAATTGCATCCTTTGAAGCTCTTCGTGAGATGAAAGTCACAGGAGCTGTAATGACTGCACCTTTGATGGAGTGGACGCACGAGGCGTTTGGTAGGAAGCTGCATATAGCTTCGTCTTCTGGAGGGACAGATGTGTTCTGTTCATGTAAGTTTCCGTTGAGTCGTCCCTTGCTATATACCTAAACTAACACTCCTCAGTTGTCTCTTGTGTGTTGAGTTTCCCACTATATGCTGGAGGTTGTGTCCGAAGTACCATTCTCTTAACTTGGACTAACTGTGCATTCCACACAGAACTCCAAGGCAAATCTCTCGGCATGGCCGTTGAAATATTCGATCCTGCGGGCAAGAACATCGAGAACACAGGTCAGCCTGGTGAGCTCGTCGTCACCCGTCCGCATCCCTCAATACCTGTTTGTTTCTGGGGCGACGAGTCTGGCAAAAAGTTTCGACAGGCATATTACGACACGTACCCAGGTAAGTTCTCCTGATTTCGTCCAGATATCGATGTGCATGTTCACATTGATGCGGAGCACAGGAGTCTGGCATCAAGGCGATTTTGTAGTCAAGAATCCGAAGACGACAGGGTTCATCTTTCTAGGGCGGAGGGTACCGACTATTTTTATGTCTTCTCATATGCAAGTTGATGCATCTCCACAGCGATGGCGTACTCAACCCCTCTGGTGTCCGTTTTGGCTCAGCAGAGATCTACGCTGTCCTAGAGTCTTTCTCCGACGAGCTCGATGACTCGTTGTGTGTGGGTCAACGGAGGACACATGACCCTGACGAGCGTGTCCTGCTCTTTCTAAAGATGCGCTCAGGGCGCAAGCTCACACCTGTCCTCATTGACCGCATCAAAAGTGCGATCAGGACCAGCCTTAGCCCGAGACACGTCCCAGCCTACGTGTTCGATACCGCAGATATCCCGGTACGTAAGCTGCTTATGCGGTGAGCATGACGATCCTGATGCCTGTGCAGTATACTGTAAACGGCAAGAAAATTGAGATTGCAGTGAAGCAGATTGTTTCGGGGTCCAATCTAAAACCGAGTGGGACTGTGGCAAACCCTGAGTCACTTCAGTTGTACTATAAGTACAGGGACATCGAAAGTTTGGCGGGCGTGAAGACGATAGCGAAGCTCTAATTGTAGACGTTGATATCAGAAGGTTAGGTCTTCCCACTATACAATAACTTGTGGGCACAATCATTTGGCGTGAGCTACCATTCTGATGATTCTGAGATACGTGAGATTTCCGTTGGGAACAGCTATCTTCATATCGATAGGTCAGAATCCAGAAAATTCACTTAGCCGCTTTTATTTATTATTGGAGCGACACCAAACTGTTTAACTGTTAGAGGTAGTGTTGTTGTTGAGTCTGACACATGTTTCAAGGACTGATGGCATTGATAAAGATCTTCTGCGAGTTCTTTGAACTTTGCCTTATCTCTCCTGTACGTTAAGTACTAGTACTAACTGATTCAGAATCAACAGGTAGGCCACTTATATTATCTTATACGAAGGTATATCTAACATCTAACATATGTAAGAACGGAACGTTTGATCCCGCGGAAGCAATTCGCGTCTGCCCAGTACATCAGACCGGACGTCAACATAGTCGATTGATGGGGCTCATTATCACGACAGCAACTTCTTCTTCACCTACTAGTATCCACGTGCGTGGCGAGGGACGTGAAGTCCGTCAGCAATAAGCATCAGATTTTGGGACGGGGCAATGCTCTTTCGAGTTGGACAGCGTAATTAGTCTCTGAAAGGGGCCAATCATGAACTAACTCGTCTTCCTCCAGCGCTCTCCAATTGGGTGATGGTGTGGCGCGAATGTGCGAGAAGTCCTGGGGCAAGAAAGGGAGCTCAGTATGGTTTTTAATGACCAGAGGTTGCTGATCAGTGGTTATCTGTGGTGACGTTGGCATTTAAATAGATGAAATAATGAAATGACTGGACCTTCAACTCGCTCGGGTAGACGCCAAACCTCACTTGATCACAGCTTTCGATGATGGGATTCGATGTAATGTCAACATAGGCATCTACGGCAGTAGAATTGTGCATCCTGAACTGCCAGTCATGAGCACAGTAGAACGTAACATACACGGACAATATAACCCTACCTGGTGACATCCAGCAACAACCACGCAATTTGTTAAGTTGTGCAACATGATGCTACCATCGACGGTCCCTAGAATGAGAATTGAATTCTGTATGTCGCGGATGTGAAGCGCCGAAATCGAAACGGTATTAGCAGACAGAGTTGACTCATTCGTGGTCATAAGAAGATTTAAGATGCTGCTCGATATTCTTATTATAGACACCTCTATATGATCTGTGGATGAGCTGGGACCAGAAAGGCACGATCTAGAGAGGTAGCAATTGGAGTGGTTGGATATCGTTCTGGAGGCACTAGATATTGTTGATGTAGGTATCGCTGGTGCATTCACCGGAGCAGGTGGCGTTGCGGTCCCTGCTGATGTTGACGCTGATATCTTGGCCTTCCGTTTAAAAGCGAATTTTGTTTTCCCTGTGGTCGATGAGCGCAATTCCTCGAGCGACTTCTCTAATGCTTTGAGTTGCTTTCCAGTTTGATTAGCTCAGACATCAAAATCAGACACAGGGTATGTACCAGTTCATTTTGTCTTTGATCATAGCTTGGAAGCCTCCCGGTGGCTTCAGTCAAACGCTTGTTCAGAGCCTGTATTTCTCCGGCGATGGAGTGCACAGAGCCTGCATCTGCAACTTTGAGACGGGTGGCAAGTTCTACGGACTATAGTAGCGTCGGTAGGGCCGGTGTAAAGGCGAAGGGCTTTACCGGAACAAGACGCTTGGAAAGAGGACGTGAATGCTTGAGAAAACGTCCAGAGTGCCTCTGCGCCGTCAGCGGATATCATAGTGGTCAATTGAAAGTTGAAATCAGTTGCAGGATAGTGTTGCCGCAGAGACGAATCGAATCGAGGTGGAAAATTCTGGTAAATTGACACAGAACGTTCGGACTATAGAGTTGAAACGAAATGTACTGTGTAAGCGCTGTCCCTCCGAGTCGTAAGCGAGGACGAAGACGGCAGTTTACATCATCGAAGGATATGGGGTGTTACTACAGGTCAATTACAGGCTATTACAGGTATAAGGGTACTCTCAATCTAAGTCTTCGATGGTGCTGATGGATCGATAGCATGTAGACTGTGGAAGTGAGATTGACGCGTTATTTCCTTGGCTTTGCTATGATTCTGATGTTGAGTTGTTGTTTCGTCGCTGACTTGCTGAGCGGGAGTATCAGCGGCGTCTTTGCTTTCGTTTGCAGGGATTTAGGGAGTTGCTTGCTTTTCGACGTCTCTCCTCTCGCAGCCTTCTTTGCCTGCTTGTCGGCGTGCTCATTTCCTGCGATATCCTTGTGGCCCGGGGTCCACCTGATCACCAGTTTCCTGCTGTCGTTGACTAGGAGAAATTCTTGAAGATCACCATGGAACTTGTCGACCAAGTAATGACCTGGTTGTGAGTGGAAAGCTCCAATTGCTCTTATTGCGGCTTGACTATCCACCCCAAGCGACATCGTGCCCTCTCCCCCTTCTTCCTTCAACATCTGTACCGCAAGTATCATCCCTATAATCTCTGCCTCGTACACGGTGTGTTCTGTCTCGCTTCCCAAGTAGAATCTTTTCGCCCTAATCATTTCTTTCCCTTTCATCAGAACTGCCGCCCCTCCCACTCCGCCATCTATCGCCGATCCGTCTGAATACACACGTAGGCATTCGTTGGCTTGTTCTTCTTCCGTGATTGCGTCTTCCTGTTTTGTCGCGATACTAACTTCAACGTCTTGGGACCATTTTGGAAAGTGGCGAACTGGTATGATTTTTTCCATTGTTTTCGGTTTGATTCTGATCTCGTCCCGCAGCTTGTGGAGTGGCGACGGGTGGCGTTTTCGCCCTTCAAGATCCCGTTTTGCGCAGAAGATGTAGGCCGTCTTGAGGCCTTTTGCTAGCGGGTAAGTGGGAGGAATTGTTGCCATTCGAAGTGTGGCTCTGAAGCAGACTTCTCTTAGTATTTAAGAATGATAGCGTGGATGTGGAGCAAATCAGACGCTGAGGATCTTAGCCCTCCGATGATGAGTACTGTCGTCATCCGTTAGACGCGTGCCATATGTGATGCGTCCGTGAGCCCCTCTGCCGCCTCCCTTCTCACCTCAGCCCTTTGCAACTGATCCCGCACACCAAATGTCTACTCCGTATAGCATTTTGGGTACACGTCTGTGAATATTTGAATGCCCTTGGTGGTTCTGATCATCCTACGTCATTAATACAATGACAGTACGTTGTATGGACTGATCCGAGTCGAGCCTACGTGCGCCGAAAACGATCACTACAACACCACACGAGTTACGTATCTCCGAGCATATCGCAAAGTGAAATCCAGGCTGGACATAAACCAAGTTGATTGGTGAGGCTAGGCCTGGAATGCACAGAAGTAAGTACGGCAACGCACCTCGTGCCAGTCACATCGCCAAAGCAGAACGTCTAGAACTTCATCAGAAGTGAATGAGCCCACACAGACTCCGGGCAGCCAAAGGAGATTTGCTTCGTTCGTTGGTCAGCCGACATGCTCAAGCAGCGTACTTTGCATGTCATCAGTTCGAGATGATCGATTTACAGCTACTTTCACATCCGTAGACCATCATAGTAGGCTACTTGGTCCATATTTCATTCTACCGTTTCTATTTACTTGTGGAGCTGGACAAACAACAGGGTCCCGCCTTTACGGTGCTGTTCAGGTGGAACAAGGACGGAAAACCCCTAAGGAACTCGGGAGTTCGCTGCTTCTGACATTTGTCGCTATGTGTTGTACAGTGTTGTAGTTATACAAGATCATAATCATAACAAGCTTCCACTGTGTACAAACGAGCCGTGACATGTGGGCAGACACCAGGAGTGTGTATGCAAGGCCGTGTCCGTCGAGGCAGAAACCTCTTAATTAACCGGTTATAACGGGTTAGTAACCAGTTAGTAACAACACTGGTCATATGTGCAACCAGACGAGCGCCCACTCACTCGTCCTTCAAAGCTTCAAGCTTCAACGTTTCAGCTGCATTCTACAACTATCGCGCGAGCTTGCCATAGCAAAATATATCAAAAAAGTCATATATCCATTCCATGATCTCTATCACGCTTCGCGTTCTCCATCACTTGACAGTTTGATCGTCTCGTGACCGAAATCTTCTTACAACTTGTAAGCTTTGATTCAAATCCTCGTACGTCGTCCCTCGAGATAAGCATCACCTGGATGATTTCTAACAGCACCATCGGGCCCAGCTAGTACTTTCAATCGATTCATTGCATCTCGCATATCACAACCTTCGTCAATGAGCGATGATCAATGTCAGTATTTCGATTTTCATCTCTCGCAGGCTCCTTGACCTCTTTGACAGTCCTTCAAGGAATTTGGGCGAAGCTCTCCGAGGTCGCTGTCAAGGGTGCTCAATATAACTCTCCTGAACGTCATCCCCACCCGAAATGTTTGGATGGGACCCGGGTGGATCTCCTCAAACACATCAACGGATTCCTGGACGATCCAGAGAAGAATCAACTTATTTGGCTGCATGGCACGGCTGGTGTCGGAAAGTCTGCTGTTGCGTTCACTGTAGCTGAGAGGATGAGAGGTCTTAAGGTGACAGAGCAGACGAATGTCGAAAAGCGACTCGGGGGTACATTCTTTTTCTCGCGCGAGAAAACGGAACGCCGCACGGCTGGATATGTTTTTGCGACGCTTGTCTACCAGCTTGCCACCAATTTTCCAAACATCCGGAAGGATGTGAACAGAGTTATTCGCGACAATCCCGCTCTACTAGATCCCAACACACCTCTCTGCGAACAGATGGAGGCCCTTTTTCTCAAACCTCTCCGGTGGCTTCGAATCAGATTGCGCGGGTGTCCACCTTTGTCGTTTGTCGTCGATGCCCTTGATGAATGCACATCGGAACCCGAGCTTACTGATCTCATCGTTTCCCTTGCGCGGGCTCTTCGTGAGCCTGATCTACCCGTGACCCACATTCTGCTCACAAGTCGCTCGGAATCGCATATTAGCAAAGTCTTTCAGAACGACGAGGTGCGCCCATTGGTGCGCGAGATACCCGTGAGGACTTCTGGAGGGGGTGGCATCATTTCGTTGGACGGCGCAGACGTTGACAACGATATCTGTACTTTCTTGCGGCATTCCTTCGAAGAGCTGAAAGGTCGCCATCCCGATTTCCCGCAGCCATCGGAGGTTGACCTTGCGAAGCTGGCGAGCCGAGCGGGCAGACGTTTCATCGTGGCATCTACGATGATGAAGTTTATTATCGACGATAAAGACAAGGATCCTCGCGATCGGTTGCAGCTGATGCTCGAGCTCACGAGCTCGCTGCTACCAGGAACGGAGGTGTACAAATTATACGACTGTATCCTCTCCACGTGTGCCGACCCCAAGCGGGCATACCTGCACTTATCCATTGTCGTCGCCCTCACATACCCTCTTCCCATCTCGCAAATCTCATCACTTCTTGGCCCTGGTTTGGGTAGTGATGTACAGACAACGCTGATACAGCTACGGTCTGTCATGGATATCCCTACAGACAGCACTCTCCCTGTGAATATCTATCACTCGTCCATTCGCGACTATGTTTCCGACCCCTCAAACTGCGAGCTCCCTCAAGTACGCGATGTCGTATCACCTCACTCCCTACTCGCACGTTCCTCTCTCCGCTTGATGAAGGTGATTCCAGAAAGCACGGCTCTCTTGGATGCACTCTCAGAACTGAAGAAGCAAAGCAAAGCAATGCAACCTGAGGACCCCGATAGGTTGAAAGACTCATTAGCGTTCCTTGTTTGGCCACCAGAGCCACTGTCAGCTGTGATCTGTATGCTGTGGCTTCGAGGAGATCGCACTTCGGATTTAGAATCTTGGCTTGGGACCGTGGACGGGCATGCCTGGCTGCAGACCCATGGTGGACGAGACTGGCTGCAGACCCGGAGAGGACAAGACTGGTTGCAGACTCAGGGTGGACGAGGCTGGCTGCAGACCGGGGGTGGACAAAACTGGCTGCAGACCAGGGGTGGACGAGATTGGCTGCAGACCCGGGGTGGACGAAACTGGCTACAGACCCAGGCAGGGCGAGACTGGCTGCAGACCCAGGGAGGACAAGACTGGCTGCAGACCCAGGGAGGAGAAGATTGGCTGCAGACCCAGGGAGGGGAAGACTGGCTGCAGAACTGGAGAGGACGAGACTGGCTGCAGACCCAGGCAGGACGAGAGTGGTTGCGGACCCGGGCAGGACTAGAGTGGCTGCAGACCGGGGCAGGACGAGAGTGGTTGCAGACTGGGGCAGGACGAGGGTGGCTGCAGACCGGGGCAGGACGAGACTGGCTGCGGGCCCCGGCAGAACGAGAGCAGGTGGGGACCCAGGAAGAACGAGAGCGGCTGCGGACAGAGGCAGAACGAGAGTGGCTGCGGACAGAGGCAGGACGAGAGTGGCTGCGGAGCGAGGCAATACGAGAGTCACTGCGGACCGAAGCAATTCGAGAGTGGTTGCGGGCTGAGGAAAAAGGAGACTGGCTGCAGATCGAGGCGGTACGAGACTGGCTGCAGAGCCAGGGAGGGAAAGACTGGCTGCAGACTCAGGGAGGACGAGACTGGTTGCAGACCCCGGGAGGACGAGACTGGCTGCAGAACTGGAGAGGACAAGACTGGCTGCAAACCCAGGGAGGACGAGACTGGCTACAGATCCAGGAAGGACGAGCCTGGTTGCAGACCCAGGCAGTACGAGACTGGCTGCGGACCCAGGGAGGGGAAGACTGGCTGCAGACCCAGGGGGGACAAGACTGGCTGCAAACCCAGGGAGGACGAGACTGGCTGCAGACCCAGG